AAAGGACTTTTTAACAACTTAATTTTTAAGGATATAGCAGGAGGAGAGTAATGGAGACAGAAGAAACAAGAAATATAAATAGAGAAGAAACAAGGAATGAGATAAGTGAGAAAGTAAAGAATGAAATATAAAGAAATAAGGAAGTAAAGAAGAAATAAATAAAGAAGAAGAAGAAGGTTGTAAACGGATATAGAAATAAAGAAGTGAGAATAAGATAATAAGAGAAGAAATGAATATAGAAATGAAGAAGTGAAGAAGTAGAAAAGTAAGGAATAGAGAAGAAACAAGAAATATAAATAGAGAAGAAACAAGGAATGAGATAAGTGAGAAAGTAAAGAATGAAATATAAAGAAATAAGGAAGTAAAGAAGAAATAAATAAAGAAGAAGAAGAAGGTTGTAAACGGATATAGAAATAAAGAAGTGAGAATAAGATAATAAGAGAAGAAATGAATATAGAAATGAAGAAGTGAAGAAGTAGAAAAGTAAGGAATAGAGAAGAAACAAGAAATATAAATAGAGAAGAAACAAGGAATGAGATAAGTGAGAAAGTAAAGAATGAAATATAAAGAAATAAGGAAGTAAAGAAGAAATAAATAAAGAAGAAGAAGAAGGTTGTAAACGGATATAGAAATAAAGAAGTGAGAATAAGATAATAAGAGAAGAAATGAATATAGAAATGAAGAAGTGAAGAAGTAGAAAAGTAAGGAATAGAGAAGAAACAAGAAATATAAATAGAGAAGAAACAAGGAATGAGATAAGTGAGAAAGTAAAGAATGAAATATAAAGAAATAAGGAAGTAAAGAAGAAATAAATAAAGAAGAAGAAGAAGGTTGTAAACGGATATAGAAATAAAGAAGTGAGAATAAGATAATAAGAGAAGAAATGAATATAGAAATGAAGAAGTGAAGAAGTAGAAAAGTAAGGAATAGAGAAGAAACAAGAAATATAAATAGAGAAGAAACAAGGAATGAGATAAGTGAGAAAGTAAAGAATGAAATATAAAGAAATAAGGAAGTAAAGAAGAAATAAATAAAGAAGAAGAAGAAGGTTGTAAACGGATATAGAAATAAAGAAGTGAGAATAAGATAATAAGAGAAGAAATGAATATAGAAATGAAGAAGTGAAGAAGTAGAAAAGTAAGGAATAGAGAAGAAACAAGAAATATAAATAGAGAAGAAACAAGGAATGAGATAAGTGAGAAAGTAAAGAATGAAATATAAAGAAATAAGGAAGTAAAGAAGAAATAAATAAAGAAGAAGAAGAAGGTTGTAAACGGATATAGAAATAAAGAAGTGAGAATAAGATAATAAGCGAAGAAATGAATATAGAATTGAAGAAGTGAAGAAGTAGAAAAGTAAGGAATAGAGTTATAAAAGTGAAGAAATGAGGAAGGAGATAAATAAGAAAGTGAAGAATGAAAGATAAAGAAATAACAAAGTAAAGGAGAAATAAATATAAAAATAGAGGAAGGTTCGAAATGATTCCAAGAGACCAGTATAGGAGACCGGCTCGAGGAAGAATGAGCGCTCAGAGTCCGGGCGCTGGCTCGAGCGCTCCCCCCACCATCCGCCTGTTCCGGCTCACCGAGTCCTGCGCGACGAACTTGCGCGCACACAATTTTGGGCAACTTCCAGTATTTCTAAATATGCTTGGCCAAAATTTCCGATTTCCAAGTGTTAATATTTCATTGATTTCATTAATTATTTTAATGTTCCAAACACCTAATTTATTTACGATTTAGTGGAAAAAGTGGAAAAAGCAGGAAATATAAGGGAGTGAAATGGGCCCCTCCCCGCCCATTTCCGTGAGGTCCTACCTCTCCACGAGGGAGCAACGACCCCTCCGTGGCCCCATAGGTGACCATGTTTTTTTTTATTTTCTCACTTCTTAAAAATCTATCTATCTATCTATCTATCTATCACTTTGTTAAAAATGTCTTAAAAATATTTCAACAATAGGCTTTTTCAATAGTTCTTGAGAAATTCTAGTTTTGAGTCTCGTTCTAAGCGTTGCTTTGGGAACCAGCGGTGAGTAGCGGAGAACCTCTGGCCGCCAAGCTACGCGTTCGTGTCCACGTTTAGTTCGGCTGCGACGAGATTCGCATTGTCGACGGAGGCGAATGATCACAAAATCCTACTTCCAGACTCGCCGCTACGATTGAGCGCCATGATTTTCGTATCCCCTAAAACCGTACCGTTGTGCATCTCCCTACTTATCTCTGTCTAGATCATCGATTTTTGAAATAACTTTTGAGTGAGTCAGTGACAGCTCATTTTGTACAACTGATATCTTCTTTCTTTTTTCGCGGCTTATCCAGCCAATTATCAATCGCCTAACTTGGAACAAGAAACTCGTCTCCTTCCTAACTTACTTTATGTGTGGATCGGATCTTCAGTAAGTGCTGCCACCTAGTGGTATTTATATCAACTTCGAGCACACCATTCAAATTCAACTTTTAATTCTTTGAGGTTCATCTCGTCACAGCTTTTAGTTTCTCAATTGTCCGACTCACGGGACAATGTATTGTCTGTATCTATCCCTCCTTTCAATGTTTTAATAATAAAGTGTTTTTAATAATACATGGCCTTACGCGAATCCATACCGCACAACATCAATCTAGCTTAAGAGTTAAAAGTTCCGCTGGTAGAAATATACTGGTGATATCACAATAAATCCAATTTCCCGCGAGATTTACAGTCCCATTCCTCCTCGGTGATGCGGTAATTACAAATCATACACGGTCCAATAATAAATTTGATATTCCCTCGTTTGACAGCGAGCATATGAAACATAAATGACATCATTAATGTGACATCGTTGATCCAATATTTATATTTAACATTTATTGTCTCATTAACAATCATTATCCCATCTTCTCATATTAAGTAACCATTAACAATCTATCATGTCATATAAGTATAACCTGCTGAATTACAACATTCATTAACCATCATTTAATTTAATGAATTATAGAAAATAGTTATCACCTAATATCAATTGCAGACGTCAGCCATTAGAAATGCATTACTCCTGATCTCCTTTATACGCCCCCCTTTCCTTTTGGAGAACCTGAAAAACATACAATTTCTATTAATATCGATTTTTTGTAAAAAATAATCTTTTGTATTTAATAAATAACGCTCTTATCACATTTTACCTTGATTGCCAGGCTATCACTAAGAATCGACATCGCCGACTGAAAGTCCTGAAGGCTCCAATAAATCAGATTAATTTATCGTCATATAAAGTGCGCATCGATAAAAATTAATTGTTTTTACGTAACAGTGCCTGTGGCAGATGTTGCAGCTAGGGGTGGGTCGGCGTTGAGGGGATTAACCAAAAAAGTCAAGACACAATCGGAAACCATACACCCCTCGTGAATAAAACGACGCCGTAATGTCGATTGCGGATAAAGGAGGGATCACACCGAGGTGTCTTTCGTTTTATGGTGACAATAAAAAAAAAAGGCCAAGAAGCCACGAAAAACGAAAATGGAAGAGGAAGGTCGGTTAGTTGATAGGTTTTAATCGTGACATAAAGATTTTAATCGATTTTTCCCTGTACGGATAACACCGTAAAAAGAAAAATGAACGTGCTATATGTCTTTGACAAAATAGCCACTTATACCCACAACCATTATGATTCTTACTGTTTTATATATAAATTCCTTGAGCGTAAAACACGAGCCTGGGATGCTCATGAGAATTACAACATTCACTGGCATTGGCTATTGGGATGAATGGGTGTGAAAATAAAAAATCGAACCAAGCATCGTTTTATATTTGATATGAAACGTGAGAGTTCCTTAATAAAATAGGGAACGTTTCCAAGTATGATGTTTTTACGTTAATGCTCAAGTTATATAAGAGCTATCAGTGATAAGGATTCATAAATAGTAACTCGATACGTGATTATTATCGTGATTGATCAAAATTTAAGGCCTGATCTTGATGGATAAATGGGAATATATATATTGTTGATTTAGTGACCAGCAGACATAATTAATATTATTTGATTTTGAGAATTAAATAAAAAGCTAATTGGTATCTGTTATGTCTACGTCTGATCCGAAGCATACAAATTTAAAATCCAAACGAAGAAAAGGTATAGGTTAGAATATAAGTTTCTCAGCATTATGTTGGTACTTACGTTCAATAGGCGTCTGCTGACGGAATCCATTGTACTGCTATCCATTAATCAAACCATGTTGTACCTTACGCCTTTGGAAACTGGCCCTTATACAAGAATGCGATCTTTGTTTATTTTGCGAATCACTTTCCCGAAGATCGATAGACCTTACTACTGCTTCCTTTCAGACGGTACGAGTCAGTTCTCGAAGTTTTCAACAGATGGCGGGATCTGAAAAATTATTCTTGTTCATTGACTATAATCTTCAAAATTATTTCACTTAGCTCAATCAATTATGGATTGTCGTTTGATGATTGAATTAAAAAATTTCATTTTCAAACCACGACTTGTACATTAATTTTATTTCATATTTGCTATCAGTTTGTCGAAATTTGTAAAGTAGGAATTTCATTGGGTTCTTAAAGTTTGTCATTTTGACTAGATTGGACTGGTGGTGAAATTTGATTGTAAATTCATTCACTACAATTGGATCTGATTGGTATTGACAAATTATTTAATGATTCTCATGATACGCAAGTACCGTTATTATTTATGAGATTTATGTTAATATTAAGGGACAGTTTCTATGATGAATTAATTTATGCTAGTTCACTGCCAAATATTCTTGTGATATCTTCCTCCTTTTTTTCTCTTCGGAATCATAAAGCAAATGAATCATAGATATTCTTGGGAAGATTCTAGTCGAAGGAAACTGGTTTTATGGGAAAGAGCTATACATTGATTTCTTATGTAACCAGTCTATGATAATATATAAGACATATTCTTTCACGTGTATACACACTGGATCAATGGGATATCAAAGAACTCTTTATGTTAATATTTTCAAGTACACAGTCACTCGTTAAGTTGTCGCCTTACCGAGTCTCACGGGTTCCGCACGTCAAGTAAAGTGTCCGGGTCGGCCATGAAATTCTTACTCATTTGAAAAATATTTCAGAGTCTGCCAGTAGTAGTTTACGTAGAACCCAGGAGGCCGCGTAATGCCTGAAACGAACAACACTTTATCAAAAACGATTCCTCTTAAGTGATCAGTGGTATTCAGATACAAAGAACCAGTCAGATGTTTTGTTTGAGATGTGATATTGTAGAAAAAAAATTTTCCCTTGTTAAATTCGATCGGAGGAAGTTAAAAAAAATTTTTCATATAACCGGTTTTTTGATTCTAAAAAATTTTTTAATATTTCAATACAATTTTATTATTGGCCATATGAAAGTGTTCAGAATTGAGAACTACTGACCACTTACAAGATGAGACTAAACGGTTTCGTGTTCGGATGCTGGGAGCCAGGGGGGGTCGCTGGACCAAAAAGGATTGCTTCGTATTTTACTCAGTCCTGTATCCTACTGATCCATAAATGGAAGAAACGCTAGTATTTACGATATTCGAAATTCCTATACTGCGCGTACAAATCAGGCATAAGGTTTTGCTGGTTTTATTAACATTTTCAAAAATAGGATATCAGTAGGATTCAAAAATTTTCACTGTGGTACGGATATTCTAATCTATCTGATCTCTAATGGATATGCACATCGATAACCGGAAATGATCGAATAAATATCGAAAGCGGAATTGCCGATTTGCAAATTCAAAATCCATTAGCCACTGAGTCGCGCTTTCGTAAATTCACTTTCAGCCAACCTGCCATACCTCAAATCTTTGGCCTTCGAACGTTCGAGTCTCTTTGAAATACAGAAGAGGCGTATATCTAATGGCGGCACCGAAAACTCCCGGGGAACGAGAGAATTCGCGAATCGCAAGAGTCCCCAAAAGCCAAACTCAATAATCCATTTCCTGTCGCGGTCGATTGCCAATGGGGAACTCGTCTTCTGGCTGAAGGAAGCTGGTTTCGTCTTTTCCCTCCCCCGCTTCCTCCCCATACCCATCACTCCGACCCCCTTTCATCTATCCCTCCCCGCCCTCTAAAAAACCCTCCGCCACTTGTTTTTCCCCAGAATTCACAAAGCCCGAGCAAAGAGAAGTGGCAAATCGAGAATCACAAAGTGGGGAGAGCCATTTCGAATTCAAGCCGAAGGGGATCATCCAAGGAAAAGTTCAAAGGTCAAAGTAAATATTTTGATTTTCTAGTACGTACAAATACCAAAATTTTCCTTTTCACCCTTCGCGACTTTACAGCCGTTGGTCTCTTTGTGCTTGACACACATGCTCAATATATTTTCAGTTATATGCCGATTACATCACGGTACCCGTACATGCCGACTACGCCCACGCGAGAATTGAAAAAAGAAAAAACGACTTTTAAAAACCATGATGGCTGCCACCTTCTTTGTTCCATGAAAATTATCAACTAATTTGTGAGAGGTTACTTAAATAAATCGTATATGTAAAGGATATGTATATATATATATGACGCCTGTAATTACTCTACCGCCATTATTCATCATGCCAGTCTGAGTTTTAATAACTGCATAATTCAAATGGACGCTATAAAAATTACCCATAGCGTTTATGTTTTACGTCATTGTCGTCGCAAGGATTCATGAAAACAATTAATCTCGCTGCGTGCGACAATGATAAAAATTTGTTGCTCGAAGATAGCGATTAATATCATTACATCTATGTGACACAACTGTTACGTTTATCCATTCAATTTCTAATTATAAATGAAATCAGTACCTTATGCAGTCGCTGCTTTGTGCCAATTTGGTCTGGGCGGTGTGGAGACAAAAATTTCTGAACCGAATGTACCCCACGAGTCCACGTTGAATTTGAACTTTGTGTCTGTTGAATAATTGCGATAGGTTCAGGTCCTTACGTCGATAGGTGTCCGTCCGTTGGAAGGAAATAACTAGCAGGTTTCTATGAAGCGGCTGCAATCAAACAACGAGCACGTCTTTGAGTGGGAAATTATTTGTTTCCAACAAAAACATACGAGAAACTACTTAGCTAGACATTTTTTCTGACTTGCGACTGTACGTCATTGTATTTACCGTTAGCATGATAATTGGGAATTGAAAAAGTGGGATTTTTTGATTTGGAATTTCCTTTATCTTAAATCACTGTCAATATTTTTCGAGATTATCAATAACGTTAAGATACGAGTGGGAGACTGGATTTACTTATAATCCCAGTCTCGACGATCTGCAGTGTAAAAAGTCGTTGAAGTTCGTTCCGTGAATATGTTCTCTTTAAACTCTGTGAATATAATGAAGACTCTTACGCTAGGATTCGCCTTCTGTTTTGCACTGGTTAATGGCGGTAAGACGTACAAATGAGAAACAAATTATTTTTACATTTACTCGTATCATCCTTAAATATTGACGTTCACTTTGGTTATCCTCGGTGTATCAACTCGTTGCATAATCTTAGTGTCGGATAAAACTTATTGAAAAAATTTACCTCTCACTCAACAGCTGCCGACTATCAAGTAGTACCAAGTGCATATGCAGAGGGCGCCAGCGTCGTGAAATATCCGCAAGTACAACTGGGCGCAGCGGCCGACACGCTCAGAGATGAAATTATAAGTGCAACAACCAGTTACGTTGCTCGACTAACAAATATATATTACTTCCAGGTAATTAAGAAAGCAGCCATACCGTAAGAAGTTTATCGTGATTTTGGCAGTGTCAGGACGCAGGCTTTAGTCCTTTACAGATAATTAATACGTATGGGCCACACGTGTACTATGAATAGATTCAAATTATAGTTCATTACGTTTGAAGAACACTCACTCGTCTTCCTTTCATGATTCGAATACATTATTTACGCCATCCTAGACAATAGCTCACGATTCCTCGAGTCGTTTATTATTTCCATACTTTATTACGGCCCCGTCACGTTACATGATCAACGACACGCGTGGTATACAACTTTTAGTTCGCAGCCTACGCCACCAGGGCTCACTGGTAGTACTACCCACAGTAGTTTCACAATCTGTTACATGAAAGTTGAATCGAGCGAATCGATGATTTATATATCTTGATTTTACCATTATATTCGTTATGTATACATGTCCATCTAACGTCACGTTTTCCCTCAGGCAAATTCTGCTGCGTTTTTCTTTGGTCACAGTGTTGAAAAAATGACTGGGAATCTAGACCGCAGCATTAACTCCATTCATGATGAATCACCCGCAGACTCTCTCGATCACAGCCTGGATCTTGTCTCAAATAGCTTTGAGGGCTACATTGATATCATCCCTCAAGAATTTGGCGGTAACGCTGTGACTGGTTCAACGGTAAAATATTAGTGCTAATTGCATATAAATATAATCTATCTTTGTTGTATGTCTTTGGTTACTATATATAGTTCTTTTTGACTCGGTAGGACTTACCTAGTTTGGAGAACCTCATGCAGGACAACCCCGTTAACGTCACCTCCATGCAAACCTTAGAAAGTCTTTTGCATGATCTACCGGCAGTGGCTGATCATGATTTTTCTATATTGCAAAAGTTCATCACAAGTATGTTCGCTCATGGCTGGGAAAACGCCAGACCAGCTTTTATCAAACTGCGCGATGAATTTCGTGAAGATGTAAGTGCCCTCTGATACGTTTATAATGGTTATTTGATCATCTATAGAGCATTTGTTATTTTTCATTACAGCTCCTGTTCGACAATATATTATCGCCGTTTAGGAGCTCCATGATGTACGTTCACAGAAATGAGGATATTATCAAAGCTCATACCAGTGACGCAGCTTGGAGCAGATGCATGACTTTGTTCGATAAGCTGACTAAAATTGTGTTACTGCACGGAAAATCCAACGAATAACCAAAGATCACCAATCACGGTTATTAGGGACAGACATAAATAAATGTATATCGTATAAAGCTATAAATAAAACTTTATCGCTTTACCGTTGCATTGTTAAAAACAAATATTACGTGAAATATTTTTTTATTGGAAAACAAAACAATGCAAAAATCAGCAGACGGTTGATCAAACAAAATATCCGATTCCCGAGACAATTTTCAAAGTTTGTACAAATACACGTATAAACATAAAAAAAAGAATACAAGCGACACGAAATTCTACAATCGAATGCATCATAAAGCGCAATTCGTAGTTAAAACTTGGAGCATTACTGCCGCGTAGCTCCAGCACAGTGCTCGCGGTCGGATAACAACTAAAAGTCACTAGAATAGCTGAAATCACAAGAGCGAATATCACCAGAGAATATAACCGTATAGCAAACAATGCACGTAGCAACGAAAAGAGACCTTTTAATAGCAATGCCACAGAAACATTTTTTTTCGACTGACGAGAATCAAATAAAAATCATTAAGGCGTCAATTTCTGTCGAATCCTGAAATGATCAATAGTACATGCGCAAACGATACAGTAAGAAGACCAGTGCCTGGAACAGACAGATCCATCACGTTTTATTGGGCCCAGGTGCATTTTCAACAATGGAATGTCAACGACAAAATAAGGGATACTCATGCGTGACGCAACACTTGTCTGGAATGTGGGTTACAGCTTACAACCCTTTCCGACAATCCAAATCCTCACTCTACTACAATCCACAACATACGCTTATATAGGGGGTGCGTGTCCGTAAGGGTTGTAGTTGTCCCTAGACGGAACTGCTTGAGGGTTTGCAGTATCAGACGGGTATGGTCTGGGGTCTTTAAGTGGGCAGGATAGCTGAGAAGGTCACAGGAATGATAATGGGAATGTAAAGGTGAATAGGAATGTAAATGGGAATGATGGAAGTACATCTGGATACGGGATACCAACGTACCAAGATATCCAAAGGTATGGGGGAAGTTGTCTGCAGGCTGGAGCCACGCTGTCGCTGCTACGGCATCGATCCTCCAGGTCTACCACCACTACGGTTGTTACTACTATTACTGCTATCACGGTTATCAGCTATAGTAATACTATGAGTATAGTTTGCAGTAGCACTGCTACCACTACTGGCTTTGACTATTATCAAGCCAGGCATTCAATAAGATTTCTTATTGCAACTCACAGTGCTACCGTTCAAACGAAATCTTATTTTCGAATTCTAACCTTTTTACATTACTAATTCTATCGGAATTTTTGGACTAGGCAACTTCTTCCTTTCACCCTTGTCCTCCTTTCTCTCTGCCACTTTTCACTTTATCGCCAGACGTATCTCAACAGTCGACGATGCACTTTCTGTTCTGCCAGTTGAGCTTTTTCAGCAAGTGAAATGGATAGGAGGGTTCACTCGTACGAGACATCCGAAGCCTTTGAACCGCATCGGGGAATCGGTTGCCCTTTGTCTCCTATTGTGAACTCTGCAAATCTGCCTACTATCATTATTTGTGATTCCTTACCTTTTTACCATCACGATATTTTATACGCAGATTTTAATCTGGTATCTCTAATCAACTGATGTTTTCAAAATTTAATTAAACTCATGGGTACCATCTGATGCTCCTCATCCAGACTTGCTTTATGAAAGCTTTCAATATAATAAATTATTTTTTAAGAGAGTCAAACAGCATACGTACCCCAGTTGAGTACCATAAAGGGTATCCTTATGAACAAAGTTCAGTTTGATGATCAGCCATGAGCTTTTTTCTTGTTGACACAGCTCCAACTTAGCATCACTCAATTGGTCTTTGGTAACTGTTATAGTTGCCATTTTTTGAGACGTTCAATTCCGACTGGTTTATCTGCAATGACAGAAACAATTAATGAAGAGAAATAATTTTTAAACTCTTTCAAGAGGATAATCTATTACTTGGTACGTGTCTAGGGGTATATCGCCATGTATTCTATAAGCTAACATACAAACCATAAGGTCCTGACTCGTAGCACGAGTATAGGTATTCGTGGTAGAAACGTGGATTGTGTGTATAAGAATGGAAGAGCATCTGCCAAATAGAGATGACGCCATTGCGTAACTCTGAATGAACCCAGGTCAGTCAACCTCGTACGGAAGCCAATGTGCCGTCTGCGGTTAATCTTAAATGCAAGCCAGGGATCGATGTCAGTTTATTGGTTTTCTATTTTGAGCAAGTATCCCTTTTTTCTTGTAATTGGCATCGTTATCACTCTGTACTTTGTGGTAGGAGTCCCGAGGTCCAGGGTCGGTGAACCTTTGGATGAAGACATTTTCTGTAAAGTATAGTACGTATAGTAAAATGCTGCACTGCATCTGTCAGTGCTTCATTTTCGAGAGGGTCATTTGTCAGCATGAAACTTTGAAAAACTTGAAATTAGTTCAAGTACCTGAAGTTAGTCTCGGAGCCTTCGAAAAGTGTCCGGTAGAAAAATGCATCAAGGTACATGATTAAACGACCGTACTTTAGCTTGTCTCTTATTGCCGTTTCTATTATCTCGTCATAAGGTAACATTCGTGCGTATTTCGTGAAACAGTTATGAGTTCAGTTTGAGCGAAATAGAAATAATAAAAATCGATAATCGAATATCAACGTAGCTAAATAAATCGCACGAGTTTGAATCGCAGTGAAGTTGGTAGGAGAACAAAAAGCACTGTTGCACTTCATGAAAATTTGGTTGTTTGTCGATTCTCTGAAATATTCAATGTAAACAGGACGAGCACAAGCCAATGGGTGACTGCGCCGGGCTGACAGTTGCGATAAAAATGTACTGCACAATAGGCACTTTTATTTATTTTTTACTTGACTTTGTCTTTGTAATTGAAATCAAACTACCGCGCGTCACTGGGTGATAATATTTTCGTCTTATCCAACATGAGATGCGACCTTTTAGAAAAAAGCGTTGGAATACCTGACAATTCACGTAGTGACTAACCTCGTTAATTAGCGAATACAAGTGGCAGAGCTCTAAGTGGTGGCACTTAAAAAAAGAGTTCGTGGTTCTAGACAGAAAGCGCTTTCAGAATGAGAGACGAAGAGAGAGGAGAGAATTAGAGAGGGAGATAGAGACAGATAATAAACCCTTTTGTCATAGTCTTACCTCGCTGTAGTAAAGAGTAAGTAAATGTATTCAAGAAACGGGCGATAACAAGTCCATTGTTAATTAATAACACTGAGCACTCTGAAAATCTATAAAGTGACGCCAGTGGTTATTATGAATCTCAAAATGATGATGACTTCCACCTTCGTTAAGCAGCCTTCTTTGCACTGAGACAAGTAACAAGCCGGAACTTCACAGCAATAGAAATAGCCTTAAAGCCTTTCTAAATTTTAAATGGACGCTATACAATTTAGTCCTCGTTGAATTTGATGTGTATATATACATTGTTGCCGTGATGAAATTCACGAAAGACGAAACGAACCTTTATGAAAGAGCAAGACACGGTTAACTAAATACTTTTACTGCGCGAAATACCAGCTGGCATTTATCTAACTCACAATATTTCACAGCCAAAGTCGACGAGCTTCGCACAATGCACAATAGAGGCGTACGTGTCGCTAAGCCAACATCAAATTACCGACCGCAATCCTGTCGCACGAGATAGCGACGCATAATGTTGCCAGTTATGCGGCGCACGTGTACGGAACAGCTGCATTTTAAAATCACGAATTCGCGGTCTAATTTTTATCCACAGAACAAAGCCAAAGCCGTCCTGGCTCTATTTCCCAGACGATACACGTATATGCGACTTCGTGTTGCGCATCTGCCAGACCGCGACTCGATACGAGTAAAAAATCTGTTATATCTGTATATAGACTTTATCGAATTTTCATAACACTCCGTGTTTCTCATGATTTCATTTGCCAGAGATCTACAACATTTTCAGGCTTACACTGCTGGATATATCCGTAAGTACGTAGAGAAGATTAAGTATCTAGGGACCAATGGCGGTTGAATAAGAGAGAATAAAGTAGACATAAAACAAAAAAAGTAAAAACAAGCAACCAACAAGGAAAATCGTCGTCCATCTCGAAAGTTCAGGCTTTTCCAACGAATAAATTGGATGACCCTCTTTTCCTCGAGCATTATCCGTGCTACTTTCGCGTGGCAGATAATTTAACGTATAATTAATTGCTAGATCATCCAAAGAATTTCAAAATATCTATAATGCTGTATATTTCTTGGTATATAAGTAACCTATAATAATACATACACTGTATCGGTATACCAGGTCGTTCTGGAAAATGTCTCGAGATGTGGCTAGGTATCTTTTATCCATATATTCTATATACGCTATATATACATATAGTATACTCGGGTATATACGTTATATCGATATACTTTGTTTCCAGCCGGAGCTAGCAGCTACGTATGAACATACACGAACGAATTTCTTCAGAGCACGTACTGCCGTTATTTCGTCGAGGCTTTTTCGGGCGACGCGTGCATCGCTGCCAAGTGATTTTTCCTTGAGTTAACTGTATCGACCGACAGTGAATTACTCCAAGAGACTGACTCCCCCTCTCCGCACCTTTCCCGAGAGGGAAAGAAAGGATTACGTGAGAGATTCTGTACTTCCTGCTTCGAAAGCTACCTAATTCCCTTCTGACTATTTTCTCACAAAAGGACTTACAGCTAACCGGGCCATTGGCTGTACTCGATTCTCATTCGTCATTGGATCGCCTTAAGCTTTAATCGAATACCTACAATTTCCCGGTATTTTGTATTCACTGTAGAAATTAGAGCGAATGGCGCGAGTACAGCGTGAATTTATTAGCGATTAATTTATCAAGTCATTTTGAGGTTAAGAATTAAGAAAATTCATATCGACGAAGAACAAGGTATTTGTGTTTCTTGATACCTTTGTAATTTGTACTGTGGTTACGTGGTGTATAACTAAGCGACATCGGATTTCGTACTTTTGCAGGACCATCAGAACCGCATGCGGTTCACGTAATCATCCTGCAAATAGTTGAGGATCCTTATGGCAATTGCATCAGTGGAGAATTAGTGTTGCACAACTCCACGTGAGCAGCTTTAACACGTGGGACTTTTCGCACGCTCTTATAATGTCCTACGGTATGCGGATTTACGCGAACATCGATTTTCGCAAGTTGAACGACTAACCGGAAGCTGCGGATGGGTCTGTGGTTCCCGACGATCCCCGCTACATTTCACAATCATGGAATTGTACGTAGACAAAGGTATATCTGTATCCGACTAAATAATAAACACATTATCTGACTATAAACATAGTCGGATAATTCTCATTTTTTTATCGATAAAAATAATTTGCAATTAGATATTGCTATCAGGATTGATCCCAGAAAATTCGACCTCGCGGCAAAATAAAATTGGTGTAACTAAGAAGGTAGGCATCATCGGACCCAAGTTACTTGATAGCTGCAAGTTCACTGTGGTGGCGTCTAGAGCGAATTCTCACCCCCAATTGAAAGCCACCCCCTGCACCCAGTCACGCTTTCAACAAGGATCACCAGAGAGGGGGAGAGAGAGAGAGAGCGGAGGAGTGAGAGAATGTAGGGGTGGTTAGCCAGCTTCAGGGACGCTTACGGTGTACGTGGTGTTAGTGGGGGGTTGGTAGTGGGGTGATCTCGCTAGGGGTGACTTGTAGGTGGGGGGTGACAGCATATCTTTCCAGTCCCCGCCGCCAGGCGCCAACGTTAAGCGCTTTCACGTAAGTCCGACACTCGTGCGGCGCACTTTGGCCCGACAGCATCGAGCACTGACGTGCTGCATTTCGTAGGTAGCTCGAACGAACCACGAGGTCGCCGAGGATCCTCGACGCGAAGGAAAAGTGCAAGAAGAGAGCGACTTCCACTTGCATGGCAAGGAGAAGAAATACGAGCAAGGAGTAAACGTGATTTTTTGTATCGGAGATACGTTGAGATACGTAACTGAGCCTGAAACTGAGCCTGAGCCTAAAGGCTTCGCTGAAAGCTGCTAGGACGTTCGATGGAATTTAATGAAATCTGAAAGCTAGTGATTTTTTCTTCTTTTACTTCTGGATTACCCTACGATTGCCCTCGATACTCCTGGGACAGATTGTAACGATCGCTGAAACTTATGGGAGTGAGTGTCGGGGCTCCGTGAGAGAGTGTGTCGTTCAGTGAATAGCGTTTCGCGATTTTTTCTTTTTTATTCCGATACTAGTTTCTTGTGTCTCGGTTTTTTTTTTTTTTGGTGTTTTAATCGAATCACTCTATCCGTTTACGTGGCGTTGCTAGGCCGTGCCATTATACGTGGCGATATTGACAGTGCTTCTGATTACTGTAGACGTGCTCCTCGTGGCCGACTTCGTATCTAAAATCAACCCCTAGCAGAGGGATGGATCTTTGCCTAATCTACGTAAGTACCATATTACCCTACCAGCCACGGCTTCGAGTGATTGTCAGAATTTTAATTCAGCAATCTCACCCCTTGCACTTCAAACCATCTCGTAGCGACCCTTAAGCGCGTTTTCTCGTGACCTCTATTTGTTATTATAATTTCACGACAATTTTGCTACGTTACGTTTCACCCTGGAATTTCTCAACGTTCGTGTGTATATCTGTACGCAGACACAAATGTGTATAGGTATAAATACGCCAAAGCTATTTGCAAGCGTCGCTCGAGGGAGATGCAAGACGTATAAAAACACGTAGAACATCTCGAAACAGCATTTTTCTTTACCATTTTTGTTACACTGAAATTATCTCTAACAGTAGCGAAAGTGACTTTGCCATCACGATAATTATTCGTTTGCGCTACGTTTCTGTATTATTACTTTGCCGTTTGTGAGTTTTTCTCAATTATCGTTCAATCGCTATAATTTTTTTTTTTCGCAAGTATAACTAGAATATAGAACAAAAACTACGAACATTAAAGATACGACCCAGTTTATACAACTGTCCATTATCATATCTTATGCCTTCTTCGAATTGCACCGTTTGCTGGAAACGGGAATTGTACTAGCTGAAAGCGAAGTAAATTGTAATTCGAAAGAAACGACAAAGCAAATGGCAGACAAATATGAATACAGCGGACCTTCCTTTCTTTTTTTTTTTTTACCATACGTATTTTCCATAATGGCTTAGCGTCCGACGGAGCAACAGTTACAGACCTTCGAAGAGTCATTAGTCGTATATACGCAGTATACACCATAGCTGAGCACAGTTAATATTTAATGTCAAAACTAGTAGCTACCAACTGTAACTCATTAACAAGTAATAAGCTTGGTCGTTATTTAAATAATTTTTGAAAATCTGCAAAAAAAATATTTATTTAACATGGATCCCCTGTACCCTGCCAGCCTTTCGCTCTCACGTGTCGCACAGTTGCCCTGCGTATTTTTCCTTCAAAATTTTTCAATATTGTCATCCCTTGGCACGTTCGCCACCCTGAGGTTGGTACCACCCTCCACGTAGCAGGCAGAGGGTGGTGCACGTATCCCGTGCCGTCGCAGCCTTGTGAGAATTTATCTCGATCCGACTATAGGGCTGTTCCCGCTGGCGCGTTTGTAATAAAACTTTTCAATTACCCATGGCAAGGTATATACAGGGGGGAGAAGGAGGGTGGATTCAGAATGTGCGATCTGTCACGTGAAACAAAGAGAAACGCGTATGATGAAATTTCAATTTCGATTTGGCATTACGCAATTACCTTGGATGACTCTTTCGTCGTGATTGATATGTCTGTTCGAAATAGTTGGTTCCCGATACTCGGCTGGCTGTAGAAGTGTAATCACTCTTTATGATATTGAAATGTGTATCTTCCTGATTAAATGCTTATCGATTAGTTAAAATTGCATTGTTCCCAATACCCTGTATCAAGTGAAATATTGAATTGGCTGGATGCAAACAATAATGCCATTTTGCAGAGAGCGCCCAGGACTGTAGGATTAAAAAACGATGTAAACTCTGAAAGTAAAGTTTGTTCATGAATTCAAAAACGTGTACTGGGGCGTATTAATGACTGACGTTAATTAAGTACGATTTATGTACCTTGTCCATGATAATATTTTACTTTTTTGAAAATTCTTTAGTCTCGTTCGCTACGTGCATTAACGTCTGCTATGTTTCCCAGCTTGAAATACCCATTAAAAGATACACTTTTATGTACGCGGGCTGATTGTGAGCGATAGTCACGATCAAGGCGTAGATTCAAAATCTAAACCATTAGAGCTGTATGACCGTCATACTAAATGGGGATCGAGTTCATCTCCACGGTGTCCTTAATTGAAACTGATGAAACGCGCCCTTAATTTATAATTCAATTCCTGAGCCTTGCTCGGCCAAAGTAAATCAGCCGATAGTCAGCTTTGCAGTTCGGGCTTTTGATCGGGACGCACTTGAGCTCCATCGAGCACGCAGTGATATATATTGGATAAAAAAAAAATTAGTATGAAAAAAAAGGGATATCTATTTTTAAACGCCTCGCAAACGACTATTGGTAAAGTCCAGTTTCGTGAGAATTCCCCGAAGGCTAACCATACCGAAGGGTCCTGGAGCCCGTTTACCTAAACAATCGAAATACCAGTCCGCAGTCAGGTAGAAAAGATTTTTACCACGAATCCAAAAGAAAAGTCAAGTTTTTGCGACGTTGACGCGAGACGAGGAGCCATTTTACCAAATTCGAAATCGTCCAGACAATTCTTTTCGTTATAACCTAACTTAACCTACTTACGTATTATGAAGACGAAGTATCGAGCCTAACGTGCCCATACAATTTCGTACGCCATCTTTCTTTTTGGTCCTCCCTCCTTCGTTGTCTACTTCACCCGCCACCTCTCTGTTTACGAAACCAACTGTCGGATTGTCTTACGAATTTTCAACGTCGACGAATAATTTCTACCAGGGGATTCTTCTATCGGCTCCTCCCATCTCCCCCCTACTGAAGCTAGCCCGAGTTTGTTATGACTATCATTGCTATAGTCCTGGCGACTATAATGACGTTTGGCCCGTAAAAAAGTCAAGCAAATCCATACGGCCTTTTGTCAGCATAAGTTTGGTTTGTTCGTGTCAAATAATATTGCTTCTGTGTTATAACGTTATTGTGCAATATCAACCTCACAATTCAATATCGTTCTATATGCGAATAGACCACCAGATGGTATAAATACGTTCGTTCTCTATTATGAAGAAAATAATCATTCGCTTATTGTACGGAATAGATAAAAAAGAATAGGGCGCGAGTCTTGTAACTTGGTGTAGGAGAACCCTGGCACTTCGTGACGTTACGCGACCCTGTAGTTAATATCGATCTGACGTCGGTTCATTTTCAGATATTGTCTTACGCCTTGTTATAGAGGGTTGCGTGTTTTTCTTAAGAAGTAACACGCCGGCAAAACAACCGACGGGAATTTCAACGTGTAAGAAGCATTCTGCGCGTTGGGTTAGGTACGCGTGGAAGATGGATCTATGGTCCCTGACTCTGTATCGTAAAGTCGACCCAATAGATTGCGTACACGAAAACAAGAGCATTATCCCACCCAGTTTCCCAATCTGGCTCTCGTGTCTTTTTAAGGACGCCAATGCTGTGCAACGAGACAATGTCGTAGGAAGTTCTGGTATTACTGGAAAATTTTCATACTATATTGACTGCGAGAGACTTGATTAACGTAACGGGTGGCTTGGTCCGATCAGATCTTCGGGATACATGAAGATCCTGAGGTTGTCTAGATGAAGTATATAAAACCCAATGGACGTTATAACCATATAAATAATATAGTTACGTTCCGAGTAGATGGTCATGATTCAGACAATTTGTCATTGGCTCATGATACTGAAGGTCATCCCATTAAGACCCCATGCTCGATGGGGCCTTATGGTATGACGTTTGGTACTCCGTGGGTGGCCTGTTGATACTTTCTGGAGTAACTTTGTGCTTGGAATGTAATAAGTAGTTGAAATTCGATTGAAATAGAAATAAGCTTGGGTCTTTGAGGTCATACCTGGCCCCATCAGACCTCAGGACGTAACTTTGATTACAGCCTATTTTCATAACAGACTTATTGGGACCTCGGAATAGCAATTCCTAGTAACGGAGATGAGCTCCACCCGACCATTTATTACAAGTCCATTTTGCAGACCCGCCCTCCCCTCTCAGCTTGAAGAATCAACCAGGAATCCAGACAGGCATCCAGTCTCGGACTAACCTGCCCTTAAACAGGACGCACCCTTGCCGTCGGGACCTTATTGTCAAGGGTCATTGGTGGCGAGCTGTCGCCGTCCTTTGTGCATACCTGAAGGGAAGCTGTAAGCTACGTACCTTCCCGATTGACGTAGGTGCTAACAAAAGGTCAAATCGGCGCTACAAGCTCAAGCCATAAGATACCCAGAAAAGGACCCGCAAGGGATGCTGAGGAAGAATGAGATGGAGAGAGCGACCCAAGGATAGGGTCCTATAGCGAGGATTTTGCACGAGTCAAACAATGCCTGACCAGGGTTTAAAAGATGTAGCATTGTACTCAGGTACAATAAAAAAGAAACACTAGACCAGGGAAAAAAAACTAGACACTCAGAACAGACTAGAATCCCTGAGTACCTTGGCACAATTACCAGTAACGATCTTGAGGTGCACTCCGATGGCGCGTTGATCACGCAGGAGGTCGGAGGGGGTTGATGGGGAGTTGAGCTTAAGAAGCCTGTTGCGGTGGATGGTAGGACGACGCCCGGCGTCGTTCTCACAACCGGTCGCCCAAGTGTACATACACTTCCAGAAGCAGAGACGCAATCCAACCTTGGCATAAGACCCGTGCCAGCGTCCTTTTTGTCAGACGCCATTACGAAACACTAAGATCCTATGGAGTTCAGGTATTATCAACATTGTGATCCCAGCGACTACTGGTCCAGATACCACAGACCACAATCATCCCCCAACGATCCCAAGTAACAGACTTAGACTAAGTGACCGTAGACTCATAAGTATATACAGAACCACTGAGGTCATCTTCTTGTAGCCCAGCAGCCCCAATATGTATACCGTACGTGGTATGCATATTCAGCTGAATGACGTCATCGGTCGGGTACCTGGTTGTCCCGGTGGTATGCATTTTAATGGATAAGCCGATCCCGTGGAAGGTCTTCCTCTGCATAAAAGGTTACCCCCTTCGTCCTGACCCTAAACAAGAACAACTTAAGGAAAAAGCATCGAACCACTTTACACAGATTGCTCTTTCAAATAAGCCGTTAAGCCCTGAGCACCCTTCACGCATATATGTAGAAATGTTTTAAGGGGAACCCCGTGCAGGAACAGCATCCCCCCACCAGGACCCAACCGAAAGGATTACAGACAGCTCACGGCTCTCCCGTGCTGATGGCCGGTATTAAGAAGGTCAGTTATCTCCCCCCCTCGCCCGCCCCCATTTA